GAGATATCTGATGACCTACTAAAAAGAGCTCATCTTAAACATAAAATGACTCGGCTATAAACTGGATAAGCTAGAAAAAGCTGTTCAATTGGAATTAGGGAGAAACTCTGCATGGAAGTCAATGAAGAATTCTCTGAATTCTTTACTTCATAAGTTACTTATCAAAATGTCATTAAAAATTGTCACATCAGTCAGTTATCTATCCGTATATTAAGGAGGTGTTCGTTATGAATTGATACCAGCTAGAGAAGCCAATGAGATTAATCACTCCATAAAACATCTCTAAAATGAATTGCTTTCTTGGTGGTCATTGGTGAAATGTGTCCAGATGGATTCCCCATGGTTTCTATGACAAGCAGTGAACTGTGGGAACAGACTAGTCGCATGTGAGGACAAATATTCACCAAGGGCACTGAATAACCATCGCGCTGTATTGAGATTTGATAGAAGTGGGAACAAGTTGACCATTGGTTTTCGACGAAACAGAGGAATAGCATCATGTCGTGTTTCATCCCTGAAAATTCGATAACTAGGACGAAACAGCTTTCTAATATTCTCAGGTTTGTAATGTTTCTCCAGCTGATAGTGTGTTCGAACAACCTCTTAAATTATAAATAATTTTCAAGTTTATTCTACAAGATTTCATGTTAACACAAGAATACCTTCTCTTATAGACACAGGCTAGTCATGAGATGTAACTATCGATTGCATCGTTATCTCACCATTTGTTTTGGTCTTGAGTATCCAGAAGTGATGAAAGTCAGAAAGTCTGTCAGTTTACCCGCTAACTGATGCCCAAATATGCCATTTGTGTCCGAAGGTGACTCACTAGTTAAGAGAGGAGTTTTAATCCCACTAGCAGAAATTTTCTTGTATCCATTCCATTTAAGCTTAGCTTAGTTGAGTCGAAAAATAATACAGTCAGATGGTTGAAATCACACACGTGTACTACTTGCAGTCACAACCACACTCACAGATATACATTCCAGTAGAAGAAACAGCAGAACGTGTGGAATTTCTCTGCGTCGATTCTAGTTGTTTGCTGCCTTAGAGAGCTTACTTCTTACTCATCAGGCTTAGTGACATCCTGACCACCGAATTCTTTATAAAGCTCAGAGAGAACATCAAATGATCATCGCAAGAAAACTTGAATCAACAATTCCTTTTAGCAAAAATAACATGGTTTACTTGGTTGTAGCTAGCAGAGGAACCCAAGATTCACGTTTCGTCCTTTTTGGCACTCATCAGCCAGATGTACCTGCACCCAGTGAGTGATGTTGTTCCCACCGAGACTCACACCTCGTACCCACCGCTCCAGACATCAAGGGACTATCCACTAGGCCACAGAGGCACGACGGCATGATTATTCTTTAGAATTCAAATAACACTGGGAATAGTGAAGATAACATGTACTTTTTATTTTATCACTAGTTATCAAATAGTTGTGACATCCGTAGAAACTGCGGAAGTACATATACTTAGACAACTTCATGAAACAACGTTGTTTGTTACTTGTTATCTGTCTTTGCTATAGTTGGTTGAATTGGTCGGTCTATGTTGCCACATAGTCTCCTACGTGGAGGCCTCAATACGGCCCGGTTACTCATCATGATTTTATCTGCTTGATGGTTAGCAGAGAGATATAGATTATGCGTTTCGTCTGATTTTGAACTCACTACTCAGCTGGATATACCTGGACTCTAGTGAGCGATGCCGCTCCCACTGAGACTTGAAACCAGAATTGATTACTTCACACCTCAGGGCGTTATCCACTAAGCCACTGGGACACGAGGGCATGATTATTCTTTAGAATTCAAATAACACTGGGAATAGTGAAGATAACATGTACTTTTTATTTTATCACTAGTTATCAAATAGTTGTGACATCCGTAGAAACTGCGGAAGTACATATACTTAGACAACTTCATGAAACAACGTTGTTTGTTACTTGTTATCTGTCTTTGCTATAGTTGGTTGAATTGGTCGGTCTATGTTGCCACATAGTCTCCTACGTGGAGGCCTCAATACGGCCCGGTTACTCATCATGATTTTATCTGCTTGATGGTTAGCAGAGAGATATAGATTATGCGTTTCGTCTGATTTTGAACTCACTACTCAGCTGGATATACCTGGACTCTAGTGAGCGATGCCGCTCCCACTGAGACTTGAAACCAGAATTGATTACTTCACACCTCAGGGCGTTATCCACTAAGCCACTGGGACACGAGGGCATGATTATTCTTTAGAATTCAAATAACACTGGGAATAGTGAAGATAACATGTACTTTTTATTTTATCACTAGTTATCAAATAGTTGTGACATCCGTAGAAACTGCGGAAGTACATATACTTAGACAACTTCATGAAACAACGTTGTTTGTTACTTGTTATCTGTCTTTGCTATAGTTGGTTGAATTGGTCGGTCTATGTTGCCACATAGTCTCCTACGTGGAGGCCTCAATACGGCCCGGTTACTCATCATGATTTTATCTGCTTGATGGTTAGCAGAGAGATATAGATTATGCGTTTCGTCTGATTTTGAACTCACTACTCAGCTGGATATACCTGGACTCTAGTGAGCGATGCCGCTCCCACTGAGACTTGAAACCAGAATTGATTACTTCACACCTCAGGGCGTTATCCACTAAGCCACTGGGACACGAGGGCCGCCCCTTTTTCAGCGGGTATCAGGTGCTCTCTGATGTTTGTAATATCCCGTAGTTTTACTGGCTTGAATTGCTTGACCTGCGTTGTCAGATGGGCTCCTATGTGGATTACTCTAAACTGCTCGACTAGTCAATGTGTTGTTGTCTGATTCACCCATCAGTATTTATTTCAAAAGGTTTTTTCATTATCCATTATGGACTACTTCTTACGGTATCCACAAAGATGTTATATTTAACCAGAATGTTTAAAAACTGACTGTTGTCATAATTGCTCAAGGTGCTGAAATCCAACACATACAAAAGTACATACAGAAAGCTAGTAGTGTTCACTAGGCTTTCTCAATGCAAAAGAAATACTTTCTCGGTGATATATATATATATATATATATATATATATATATATATATATAAGTTTGTCAGACAGTATAAAAGTGATGTTCAGCATTGGTATGTTGCCATACAGCATAACATAACAGCACGCCAAGGTAACAAATATCAGGATGAAAGATAAAGAAATAAGGGAGAGAGTAGTCAAAAATCACAGAAAGATGTAAAAGGAGAGCGAAAAGAAATGATACAATAATGAGAACTATTACCCACAGTTTACAGCCATCGTTTTCGACTACTTCATGAACAGGAACTGGGAAGTTTAAATTCATCTGAATGATTCACTGACAAAACTAATGTAGAACATGGCACATAAGTGCAAAGGCTCAACTTGCTACACTTCACAGAAGTACACAAAGAACTATTGGATAGAAAAGGAGTAATATCAAAGTAGATGAAGTTGTGTGAGAGAGCAAGCGGTTTGAAGATAAAGGTTAATGCAAACATTCAAGGTTTAGAAGATATCAATGAGTGAATTTATCTGCGCCATTGTGACCGATTTCCAACCCTGCAACTAAGAGTCCCCAACCACTGATTTCTTGTATTTTGAGGACCCCAACCAGTTAGTTTACATAGCCCTTAACAGCTCAAACCAACTTCATTGACTGGCGCTACGTCTTGATCTGGCAATCTTCAACCCTTCTTGTGCCTAATCCAACTTATCCTAGCAGGACACGTCGAGGCAGGCCGTGGTGCAGCATGCATAGTTCATATCCGGATCATCCTTCCTGACATGCTTAGTTCTTTTTGCCTCAACTTTACAAGCAGTGCTATCAAGACATATATGATCAAACACTTGTAATCGCTTCATGTCGTCTAATTTTAGCGGCCACGTCTCAGCCGTACAACAGAACGGAACGGAGTGAACTACAGTGCAACATACTCATCCTTCGATAGATGATCGGATACCTTACCGGCGCCATAAGGGACGCAAGTTGGCAAATGTCAAACGGGCCTTCTGTGTCCAAGCTGAGATTTCGTCACCAACCAAATCGTTCAGAGGGCTGATGCAACTCCTCAATTAAGTGAAGTGGTCAACACATCCCACCACTTCACCTTCACGGTTCTGATCAAAGTTAGAAACTTCATGGACAGTTATCATGCTTTGCTCTGACTACCTTCAATCTTTCTCCAGCCAAAACCTACTTTTGTCAACACTAGATGCCGAGATAAACAGTGACTAGGCATGGGTAGCACGTTTCCCAGCCAGCTGGGTGAATTTCCTTTAGTGAGAAAACTGACATGGTGGCACCACGACAAACAACGTATGCTACGAAAGCATTGATGGTCGAACATCTGAAGCTTTCTCCTATCCTGCACCTGAAATAGTTATGTTTCACAGTCACACGGTAAAATAAAGTGAATCGCAGTGCAGTAGACTCATCATTTACTTAGCGACTGGACATCACGGTGGTGCAATAAATGGCCTAATTTGGCAAACACTAAGCAATAGATGTGGAACGTTTTACGCAAGTACAGTGGGGAAGGCAGTTGCACTTTACAACGAAGCAGGAATAGAAAATGAATGGAAATAAATAGACTATCTACACTCCTCTGTATGACGCCGGCGTCATATCAGTCAATACCATCTGTTCCTAACATCTCCATAAAATAAAACTACTCAGGCCAACAGTCTTAGCTTAGTATAGCTATTGTCAACTTTTTTCTAAAGTAATTATACTAGTTCACATGTGCATCTAGTGGATAAAGCTTTGGCGTTTGAAACGATGGGTACGAATCTCAATGGGAACAACATCAAGTGCATCCAGCTGACTAGTAAGTCCTAAATAGGATGAAACCCGGAGTCCTGGATTCCACTACTGGCCACCAGCAAGCTAATTACAACATAATCAATAATGTAGATCGATCAATAAATAGTAGACTGAAAACTGATCATTTTTCATTTTGAAAAGCAATCAAAAGCTTGTAAAATTACTTAAAACTCACCTGTCGATGTATTTCCCGAGAGAATGAATAAGTGTAATAAAATACAATTCCATAACCAAGACCATCGCCAAACTAGTTTATTGATTGGATGCGATTTAGTTAAACGACTCATTTCTTGTCGTTTTCACCGTTTCACTTGATAATATTGGAGGACTGAAATGGGGAAAGATGAAAACTGAATGTGTGTGTTTGCGTGTTGGTATATACGTCTGCTTATTTGTGTGTATATTTGTATTTAAGTGCGTATATATTTTGCACCTCACTTAAACAAACCAAAATAATGTTCAATCTTTCAATGAGTTTATCAGTTTGTGAGTAAGCAATCCACACGAACAGATAAAGTGTAGTCACAATAGATGACTGACTAGATGTTTCAGTTTCCAATGTTTTAAAAAAAACCTAACTAATTATTGAATTTCACACAAAGCTGATGGTATATGTTAATCTGAGTTCAGTTATTTGTTGATGCTTCTGTTACAGGTTGATATCATTAACACGATCATCTCTTCTCATATGTACCGTAGCCACAAATCTTAGTTTGGTAGGTGGTAGTGTTTAGTTTTCTTTTATGGCACAGAAGTGTACACATAAATACAAATATAGACTCACGAACTACAAGGACACACCAATTTCAGTCAGTCCCATATCTTTACTAATATTCCAGAAAGTATGTCCCAGTGCTTATCCTCCCACGCACTTTAGTAATTCTCTTTCACTCGAGACATGTGCATTTTACTGTGTAACAAACGACCTTATACAGAAGTGTTTCAACTAACCAATCATAGCAAAGTATGCGTGCATTACACAGACAGCATGCATGCGCATACTAACTACAAAAGGTAGGTAATTGGTTTGCAATGATGAAACACTGAAATGTATTGGTCATCAACAAATAACTGATTACGTTTTTTGATTTCGATGTGCCGGTTTGTAACGTATGACACTTGTAGCCATAACCCTTGAGACACACACACACACACACACACACATACACACCTGATTTATTTGCATTAAAATACACATGTACGTAAGAGATAGTCAAAACAAGAAATGGAATGAAACACTATTGATGCCCAATATCATCTGAACAACATTAAATGAATATACGCATATTTGGCACGTATACGCTAGTTTGCGTAATTCGTTACGCGATTATTAATCAGCCCTATACAGTGATCGATACAATCACTGTGGTATTACGACCAAAAATAAGCTTTTGAGTCCCATCATTTCTGCAGTTGCCACTTAGCTATGCTACTGGGTGATGATCAAAGGTGAAATGGGTCTCTGAACTCAGTTGGTAGAGTATTTGACCGGAAATCCGGTGGTCACTGGTTCGAATCCTTCCATGGTCCGATTTTACATTTCACCTCTAATCATCACCTAGTCTGCCAAACCACGGTTATCTCGGGCAGTCAAAATGGTACTTAGATCTGCGTACATATTTTCGAGTTAAGAGAGAAAATGTCCTGATAAAATACCATGCAGATGATTTACATGGACGGCTCCTGTTGACATTTCTCATAGATGAGTAGTTCTCTGACCGCCCAACATTACTGTGGGAAACCACTCAGCCAACAGCACAAGGTGTGATCTCTGACACGAAAAATAGTATGGACTGGCGACAGATATCGCCAGTGAACAAAACGAGTTGTTAGAAACCACTCAAGCTGATCTCTAAATTTCGCCAATCGTATCAGAGGTATCTTGATAAGTGGATGAGACAAACTAGTCCAGAAATGGACCAATCAAAATGTACTTCACGTTAATTATGTCTACAGTTAGACGAGTAGATAATATTACTTTTAGACGCCAGACTATGTATATATTCAGATATATTCTCCTCCCATTATAACTTCGAAACTTCGACCTGAATACATGTCGTTACTCGGCTTGCTGTCTTCTCTATTAATCAGTTGGGTCAGGAGTCAAATAGAAAGTTGTTGAACGTTGGTGGCTGACATACACTATCCGCGCATCCTTAGTAGCTATAGCAGTCTGAACTCATAATAGGTTTAAACACCAGCTCGATGACCAGAATTTGAGCGGGCACACTACTGATAATCTCAACCCTCAAACTAGTGAAATAGCAGTCCAGTGTTTAGATCACTCTCATCTGGCTGGGAAGTCTACAGATCAACCTGGGTTGTTTGTAACTACTCAGTTTTTTCAGTAGTATATCTACCCCATTCAATAATTATATGCTCGAGTTGACACAATGGGCTAGTGGGTCATAGTTTATTGGAGGCAGTTTGCCGGAAGCCCTGGACATAGGTTTCGTACTTGTTGGCCCTTGTCAGTAGGGCGTATCTGCAACCTCGACAGAACTGATGTCCCGACACCCAGGGTTGTGGTCAACGACTTTACCACTGAGCTATTTCGGCCCCGACTGACCACTTGTAGGACTGGGTTACATGTACTGATTGGTCAAGAGAGAACAACCAATTTCATGTTGTCTAGTCCTGAGTGCAGACCAAATCCTATCGATCATGTTTACGATGCTGAGCCTCCTAGCTTGGTAACTACACTGCAAATATGATCGGTAGGATCCGATCTGCACTCAAGATTTGACAACATGAAATTGGTTGCAATCCGTGACTACTCATTACAAGTTGGTAGGTTCTTCTGATTGGTCATATATCTATTGAGTTACCTTGAAGGCCGTCTCAGAAACTACTGAAGTCACTAATTAGACTGGTATATTTAGGCTGGGAAGGTAGTTTTTTCATTCAAAAGCGAAGGCTGATTGGTTACTTCAGTAGTAGTTAGACTGCTTTTTAGAGTTATTCAAGGCATTCACAAGGAAACTGTTACAAATATGGAACTCACTCTGAATTGTCGTGCAACTTAATTTGAAGTTAAGATGGAAGGTCATTTTGCTCTCGGTGACAGATATGTTTTACTGATGAGAACTAATCAGAAAGAAACCGGAGATAAGTAGGGCTCCCTGCATTACAACATCGTGCCACTTTATTTAATAGCTGTTTTGGAAAACTCGATCCATAGACTGTAGTCAGTAAAAAACTACTAGGAACTAGAGAAATATATTGGTTACCTCTTGGTAATTGATTCATCCAGTCCTAAAGGAGGTCACTTGCGATTTGAATAACTTTGCGGTAGAGTGCCTGACTTCAACACCAAGTGATGAAAGGTTCAAATTACTGACTATCTCCATAATTATTCACACGCTCTGCTGATAAGTGCTAAGAGAAACTAAACCGGGGTTAAGGAGAGCTCAATGTCGATTGATTTTTGACATTTACTACTGAAAACCTTTCGATTAAAAGATCGAACTCCCTGGATATTTTACCATCAGAAAAAGAAAACATTGATATCTTACTTGTAACAACCTGTAGAAGTCGAATCTACTTACCATAGATTGAAACATCAGAGTGTAATCAACATGGTTACTGATTTACCATACCCACTCTTTACGCAACGGATATGATTCAGTATTATGTCAACAACAGCGGATCTAAAATAATAAACAGACGAATCTCGAAAATCAGAAGACAAGGAGTGACTATCCTTGCTCAATAGCCTAGTATATAAAACTCTTGATCCAAGTATCCATGAGAACAACAACACACTAGGAAGGAAGTATATCTAACAGGCTATCTCCAAACAGGATGAGATGCGTATCACTATTTGTAGACAAATTTATCTGGTCGAAATTAGTCGAACAATGAATACATAAACAGTAGCCATTGTCAATTACTAATCATTTTAGTCCAATCAACGAGACATTGAACCTATACCCGTCGCACAAGAAGTGACTGTAGTGGCTCAGTGGTTTAGTGGAGGACGCCCAGGTGTTTGTGGCGATCGCTCCCGAGTCTGAGTGAGAAAAAGCACCACTCGCTGGCAGGCATATACATCCAACTGACGAGTTCAAAATAAGACAAAATACACGTCCTGGATTCCACTGCTGCTCGATATCCATCGTTAATACTGTCAGTTACCGATCATTTTTTAAATCGCCCGCCATGTGATGTCAGTTTTCTCTTTTTTTCAGGTAATTGGGACTGTCTCGTCGAGTCTGAAAGCTTACCCATCAGAGACATTCGCTTTTACCTAGTCTTGTAATAACCATTGTGATGAAATGAGATTCGAAATCCACTCAGAAAATCCGTACTACTTTGTACCGTAAGCAGTCAGTTAGTGATTCGACCTAGCTGCACAAACCTTCGTAAGTAGAGTGGTGTGTGAACACCCACAATCCACTTTGCTGAAAACAGTGAGATACAACTCCACCGTGATGTAATTAATCCTTTTTCTAACAGTCCCTATACATATCATAATCAAATGTTATTTTCTGTTGTACTAACTTAGAATATTTTTCATTTCATTTCAATTGTAAACAGATGTGTAATTACCGACTGAATTAATCGATTTTGAAGTTACTTTGAGCAGTATTTCTGAGTTACCTGTTGATAGACCGACAGATACACACTTCATGTGTTTACTATAATCTATCGAAATTTTATATTTTCAAGATTCAGTCAAAGAAGAGTGTAATGAAAGCCAATATTTTTACACAATACATACAAAAGATAGTAAAAACAACACCAACACTAATAACAGACTATCCAGTGAACGGTCACATAGTGGACAAGAAACTCACCGTTTCAGTGACTCTAAAAGTATCTACACGTTTAATAATAGTGCTGAGAATACTTCATAAACAAACTGATGAAGCCATTGCCATTAAAGTAGGAAAACCATAGCTTGGTATAAAGAAAACCTAGGACATTCGCTTGTTTTTCTGCGAACATCCCATTACTTAATTTGATGCTAACATACGGCTATCTTGACTTTTATGTTAGTTGTTCTCATAGACTAGCATCAGCTGGAGAAGTATTGAAAACCTCAGAGCACTGCTTTGTCCTAGTTCCAAACTCACCCAACAGTGTACATCCGTGATTCAACTAGGGATTGAGTTTACGAAAGTCAACCAGCCCACTATCATCAAGTCACTGAGATAGGGTTTAACTGTTCACATTTCCCTACTTCTCTTGGTTCACGATCTAGCACAACCAACATACAGAGTCATCAATCAGGATCTGTCTCATTCTTGACTCAGTTGGTCCCACAGTTCGTGTTTGTTGATGAGTAAAAAACTAGGACTAAACAAAAGGTTTTCACTGAATTCC